ATATATATGAACGAGTATGTATGTGGTGATATGTATTTGTGTATTCATGTTTGATAGTTGGAACTCGAAGTTGTAATATTTCGGTTGGAATTGTCGCTTTTCTTATGTTTGTCTGCAACTCATGGTGGTAATACTGTTTGGCATTTGTATCATATATATTTACTGAGAAGAACGTGCTCATTTTGGTCGAATCTACCGTAACACCTGTCAACCTACGTATCTACATGCAATAATATATGCACATACACAGCACCATATACGTGCATATCACTGCCATTGGCAAGGTTCTAATGGGTTCTTCTCTCCTTCAGGGCCCAGGCACATCCTTCGAGAATACCTCGCGATGCCGATTGGCAATAAAGCGCGGACAACCATTCGAAACCAAGTTTGTGAACTACAAAAAAGATGGCGAGCGTTTCAAGTCAAAGATGCGGTTGATCCCAGTCCTCGGCAAGGATAAAGAGGTGTGTCTCGCAGAAGTACCTGCACGCGGGTCTGTCTGTATGCAAGAGTCCGTATACGCGCAGGATGGGGTGTGTAAGCCGTGAGTGTTGCGGGGTTAACCGTGTAACAGTATGTTTGTATGTTATACTATGGTGTGGTAATATGGCAGCGTTTATACCGACTACAGCGCTTGATTGTTGTTTGTTGTTTCTTGGTCGTATTGACAGACGGCTTGGTGCCTAGCGATTGCACGTTTTGCACTCTATATTGAGAGTCAGAGAAAGTTGATTGGTACCCACGTGTGTAAGGGTCTGTTGCTATGCACTTTTATTTTAGGTGCATCTGTTCACCACTTTTATTTTAGGTGCATTTGCGCACCATTTTTATTTTAGGTGCATTTGTTCACCACTTTTATTTTAGGTGCATTTGTTCACCACTTTTATTTTAGGTGCATTCATTCACCACTTCTCTTTTTGGAGGTGCGGTACTCAAACCGCCACTTTGCCGTTTGGGTTTCTCCACCAACAGATGGCACCGACGTTCTATTTGGGGCTGCAATACGATACGTCGACTAGCACCAGAACGGATGCTAGCTATACCTTTGAATCACTGGCCGAGTATATTATGGCGAACAATAACCTGTGACCAGAAGGGGAAAAGAGAGTGGTAGGAAACGAACCTCCACCTCACGTTTAGATACAGATGCAGAATTGCTAATAAATCTGTGCTGCCAGCCATACGCATATAACGTACTGTTTTCAAACACCCAAATTAAGCTATTATTTATATCGAGTTGTGAGTTAGCAAATATATGTCTGTGCTCAGACATGTGTGTATATATATTTGTGCAAGTATTATAAAGGTGTAATCTCTTCACACACGTGCATACACCGACACCGACATATTTATAATATAT